CGCATTACACGGGGCTTATACATTGCGGGTCGCATAACGATTTTGTTTGTAAATTACACTTCCTTCCTAACCACCCCTTTAGTGGTGTCATACCCCCACAGTAGTATCCTCATTGTAATTACACAGTAACCATGTATACCAAGTTTTGTTAGAATTACATTGTTCCCGGATTGAAGATTTAAGTTGAAACTGTTGTGTTCTAGGAGACGCAGGACACAAAACAAAAGTACAAATCTATAAACAGTTAATTTCGAGCGGCCTAATACCGCTTTCCAAATCCAGTTCAAAATACAGCCAGTTAACCAAGTGTTCAAAAGATGTACCATAAGCGAGCGTGCAAGAATTACCAGAAATCACAATGTCAGAGCTTTTGTCGTTATACAATATACCAAAAGTGTATCGCCTCGTGACCAAAATCTCTCTCCTGTCGCGGGTGTCGGGCACGCCAACTCCCCTGCCAACACCAGGGCTGAGGGGAGCGGAGGGGTGGAATGCACCCTTTCCCTCTCGTGGGCGCAGCCCGCTCTATCCGCCCCGCCGCGCCCGCTGCCGTGCCTAGTGAGACGGTGGACCTCTTCTCTGTGCAGTTTCAGTGGCAGTTTTTTCCTCCAGTTTGATCGCTCTACAGAAACATTATCGCTCAAATTATAGGTACACATCCATAATTGTTTGGTATATTAATATTTTCGGCAATGTTTATCCCGATGGTTATTTAAATAATAGTATTGAATGTAATAATAATAATTAAATTTATTCATGAATTAAAAACATTATCGTACAATATCATAAACATGCATACTGTGTACACATTTTGGAGAAATGAAAAAAATACGTGTTTTTGAAAAGCTGTAGCTTGCTTGGTAATTGATTTTCAAGAAATGTTTAATACAAAAGTTACAGGAAATGTTATACTCTTTAAAACTGATTTGAATAATTTTTACAAGACATGGATTTAAAGACCTATAGAGAAAAAAACAAAGAAAAAATGTTTTTTTCAGGTCTTCTATAGTTAGTGGAGGTCTTCTGTAGTCTGTGAGGTCGAAAACTTTAAGTTTTAAAAGTGCCTGGTTATATACAAAATATTTGAAGAAAAAAATTATGACTATCCAAGTAAAATGTACTTACCGACTGGGCTATCTAGTTCAATTCTTGATATCAGATGCCAAGCATATGCTATATGGATCTCAAACAAGATTTGATAAAGCTCAAAATGAACAGCATTTTTCGTAGCTAAATAAGCTAATTTTTTTCTTAGGAAGACATCTAGAAACAATTACTGATTATGAATAAACAATATCAGTGACATGTTTTAGTGCTGCCTGCACAAATGTTTTGAAATGACATAATTTAACTCATCTATTTGTAGAAAGAAACAGAATATATTTGAATTAAATATTCTATAATATATAAATGAAATGTAATTATTATATAATTATATATAATGAATGCTGCTAAATTTGTTGCAAAAGATATCTAAAAATCACGACAGTCATATAACATGTATTATTCAAAAAGTAAAAATATTTTGTAATTATTCATATGTTAAATATCCGGAAAAGACATAATAGTTCATTGTAATAGTTTGCAATTACAGTTCTTTTCTGTCACACAAATAGACTTTTTATTTGCCTACGAGGAAGCAGTTACAATTTAAGAAGAAAATGTCTTTGCTTGGTGTGAGAGAATACTTGAGAAATAGAATAGCAAATTTCTGGGACATCCATATTTGTACAAGCTTAACTGCAGCACAGAAATAAAATATACGCTGTGTAATCAAAAGCTTCCGAACAGGGGGCTGAAAATGACTTACCAGTTCGTGGTGCCTTTCATCGGTAATGCTGGAATTCTGGAATCCATCGGTAATGCTGGAATACAAGGCTAAGGGTGTTGGACCACCCTTAGTCCTGATGACAGCTTCCACTCTCGCAGGTGCTGGAAGGTTTCTTGGGGAATGGCAGCTCATTCTTCACGGAGTGCTGCACTGAGAAAAGGTATCGATGTAGGTCTGTAAGGCCTGGCACGAAGCCGGCGTTCCAAACATCCCAAAGGTTCGATAGGATTCAAGTGAGGACTCTGTGCAGGCCAGTCCATTACAAGGATGTTATTGTAGTGTAACCATTCTGCCACAGGCCATCTAACATGAACAGGTGTTCGATCGTGTTGAAAGATGCCACCATAATACCAATATTGAAAGATGCAATTGCCATCTCTGTCAAGAAAAACCAAAAAGAGACAGAAACTCAGAGAAATCCCAAGCTTTCTTCGCCGAACGAAAACTCGTGCCAATTAAGAGCCATATTTCTGTGTTTTACAAAACATTTGTACTGCATCTTCTGCAAAAATTGATATGTAATATGTACATAAATAATTAAAGAAATGCGAATTTAATGTATTGAACAAATACATACATCTTTGAACGTTTCTCATTCTTAATTCCATTATTATATTCAAAGGTTTACCATTCTGTTAGCTGTGACAAATGTTTAAAAATCTCTTATGTTGATCGGTAGGCAGTGTGGTGGCCAGTGCTGGCTTGGCCTGGTCTACCGAGTGTGAATTCGTGCTATACCGAGACGTGAGTTATGAACGTTGTTGCGGTAAAGCGAATGTGTACGCGTGTGTTTTTGCATTCCAATCAAATTATCGAGAACAATAGTGCACCATTTTTAATATAAAATTCGCGAATATTTGTACGTCATGTGAATTGGAGACACACGTTTGGAATGAATTATGATTGAAGATGAATAGTGCCGTCCCTTTTATGTGAAAAAAGTGAATTAAATTAGTGGAAAAAAATGCCTCTTGCCATGTTATCTGCTTAAAACGACATAATAAATGAAAATAGAGACTTCAATGAGAAAGTGATTGACATATTCGCAGACAAGAAAGAATAATGGACTTTCAGTACAAGCAGCACTGTTGTTGATTTATCGGCATCTATAAATGTTTTTCCGAAAGGTATATACAAGAACTTTTATTTGTCTTCCAAAAATAGTTTCAATTATAAGAATATATTTTAAAATCTACAGGCGCGGATCCGCGGGGGGATGAGGGAAATCTCCCCCCCCAGTTTTTCAGTAACTATTAATTTGAACTTCCCACGAAACTTTTAAATAACAAGTGGTACTAAAACACCACTTACTTTCTCGCCCGTATTTTTACGCAAAATTACCCAAAAAACTACTCAAATATTTTGAAAAATTGTACTCGATCTTATTTCAAAATGAATCTTTAAGGATAGATTTTATTAAGGGAAACAATCTCTTTCTTTAATATTTTAGTTATTGGAAAACACCGAAAAAAATTTGGAACTTTTGACATGTTCGAAAAATCAGAGCTTTTAACGAATATGAGACCTACACCATTCTCTTAGACGTCCTTCACATTATATAACAACAAAATTTAATTAAAAATGATGGAGCCTTTTTTATTTCTCGCCTTACGAATTCTTCGTAAGAAGCGAAAGTTGTGTAATCGTGCCACAGAAAAGGCCACAATTTCGCCAGAAAAAAACACCAACTTATTACCGGGTTCTGGTAACGAAGAAGTAGATAAATCCTGTTGATAAATTTAGGAGAAATCTTCTAAGTCGTTGTGTAGCCAGAATCTATATTTTGTTGATTCTTTAACCGGAAAAATCGTTTGACAGCAAAACGTCTGTCTGTCTGTCTGTCTGTCTGTCGGTCCGTCCGTCTGTGGTCAACCTAGCGCCTAAACTGTATATAATTTTTGTAAGTTTGAAGTGAACTATGTACCTTCTGCAATGAATAAAGCGGACACTGCGTCTTGCCTCGCCTCCGGCGGATTGTCGGACCCTGACCAATCAGGGGCCGCCGCTGCGCGACCCCACGAAACGGCGGCTCCCTGCTTGTGGCGGGGCTCTCGGCAGTTCGCAGTAGCGCGCTTCTTCTGGACACGTCCGCTCCCGCCGGCTGCCTGCTGATTTTGAAAGGTGCTAAACAAACTGGTGAAATTTCATTGCAATCCGAGTATCCAGCACGGCGGGTGTTGCGTGTAAGCACGGGCTGAGAAGCGGCAACGCTGTTCTCCATGAGCGCTGTACTGCAATTAAATGCGCGCACTATAGAAGCATATGCATGGACGCACTATAGAAGCTCAATGATGAATACTGAGATTGATTGATTGTGATTCTGGGCGCGTCAACTACTATGGTCAAACTTACTGACAAAAGTGTAGTGCATGTTCTTCCTCTGGAAGTGGCTGTGGCCTTCCCCCGCTGGATTGCGAGATCCGGAGCCGACCTACCGGCGGCTAACGGGGTTTTCCCCAACCCAATATTTGTAAATATGTTTTAATATAAACCATGAACATAAATAATTTATACCAATTATTCTTGCTTGAACCCATTGTAGGAATTTAGAGTGCAAGAACCAGATATATCCAACACGTATTTATCTAATTATTACCTATTTCTACTAAAGCTATTACATTTAAAGTTCAATGAAATGTTTACATTGTTCCATCCCTGTTTTTGGAAGGAATGAAAGGTTATCTACCAGACCACAATGTAATGTGAATACAAACCTCTTATCCAAGTTGATTACAGGTCCTCTACCACGACTCCAAAAGTTTAGAAAATAATAGGGAATCCTGTATTGGACATAGCAAGTGTGAAAAATTCGGGACATGCTTACGCTTGATCACACTTCAAGAATACCGCTTCAGAATAATGCAATACGAATTTGCTACTCAGTTCTTTATTTGATCCATATGCATCATTACATATGCAGCGTACATCTATTTTTCTTCGTGGATCATTGTCCAGAATGTTGTAGACAAATATACATCACATTAATACATTGTAATTCTTGGTTATACATCGTGGACTCGCCAATCGATTCTTTTTTTGGAAACATTTCTTTTGGAAAAGGGGATTACAATATGATAATTTTACAAAAATAGCTTGGATATTCAGGTAGGAAAATATGCTCACGAGGGTAACGGCAATACAGACGGAGTCCCAGAGCTCTATATTGGTTCTAGGGTCTGACATGGGCGCCGATCCGAGACGGCGGGTGGCAGAGGGCGAATTGGCGAGCCCAATCACATAGCACACGACACACATGGTCTCTGGGACGGGGGGAGGAGGGCGAGCGGGCGGGCGGCACGGGGGGCGGGAGGCGGGAGAGGCGGCGGGAGGCGGGGAGGCGGGCGGGCGCGGAGGCGAGGCCTCTACACGCGACGTGGCGCGCGGCGGACGGGACCCCTCCTTGGCGCGGCGGCGTCACGCTCTTCTGCTGCACGGTGCCCCTCTTCTGGTCGTACACCAGCACCTGCGGCGGCGGCGGCGGGGCGTTGCGCGGACGGCCGCTGCGGCGCCGCAGGTTGGTGCCCACCAGCAGCAGAATGATGGCCGCGTAGAACACGATCACCACCTGCGCAAGCGCGGAACGCGCTCACCTCAGCATGCTTGCTTCAGAGTCATTTACTGTTAGAGGGGTGGGGTGAGTTTGATTTCTGGGCCATAGTTACTGTTAGAGGTGAGTTTGATTTCTGGGCCATAGTTACTGTTAGAGGTGAGTTTGATTTCTGGGCCATAGTATCCCCAGAAATGCAACATGCGTCAGAAAGCAAGTTGTTCATGAAGAGTTAAATTAAACATATTACACGCTAACAATCGTATATTAGTTTGCAAAACTATCCGATATATTGAGTTTTTGTCACTAACAGGGCAATGCGACATTTTTATGAAGATTTTCTGGAACTCAAGAGGAACTCTGGAACTCAAATGGAACTCTGGAACTCAAGAAGGGATTCTGAAACTCAAGAAAACGTGCGCAGATAATCTCCCCCCCCCCTACGCCACATACAGTTTTTACTGTTTTTTGACTGAATGAATCTAAATCTAAATCTAAAGAACACGACAATGTGTGACAATTGCATGTATTTTTTTCTAAAACTTCTCTTTTCATATGAAATCGGAAAATAAAAATAAAAATAAACGAAATCTGATACAACACTACATAGTACTTTCTTGCATTATTTACAACTTCAATTGAACTTACAAGTTCAACGAAAATGAGACTGTTCCGTTTTTAACCGTTCTTTACTCTCTCCCTTGAAAACATTTAAAGAAAAATATTTGAGCCCTTTTTGACATTTAAAAAAATAGTTTAAAATAAGTTTAAAAAATATTTGAAGATCTAATTTTTTAAAGAAGCGATTTCATTCAAGAAACCAATAATCATCAATAGTAAACTTTCGCATTGTTAATTTTTTGGAGTTTTCAAAAATACAGAGCGTTTGCCGAAAATATGACCAGTTCCGATTTTTTAGAGCCCTTTCTTATATTTAAAGAAAAAAAATTGGGTCGTTTTTTGAGGAAAAAGTGTTTAAAATGCTTATATATTACGGAAAATTACCTTAAACTACTTATGTTTGGAAAAATTATAAATTATACTATTTTAAGATGAGATTGAACGACATACCTCACTACAGAAAAAATCTTTAAGTTAAATATTGTAGTTGTAAGAAGACAGCAAAAAATTTGAACCGTTCCAGTTTCCGAAAATTCAGAGGTATTAACGAAAAGGAAACCTGCCCACTTTTAAGAGTTGTTCACGATATCAGATGACAAACATTAATTAAAAAATCGTGCACTTTGAGGAAATTTCGAATATGTAGTTGAGGCCACATGCAATGTACCCCAAACAATATCCATTTCAAACGTGTAGGGTCTTGAGCTCAGATAATCGGAGAATATAAGTTTTGAAGAAAGTCGTCTGAACTATTTGGGCGTTAGCGTTGACCACAGACGGATGGACAGACAGACAGACAGACAGACGTTTTGCCGTTTCGGTTTCAAGGAACTGCATAACGTGGATTCTAACTACACCCTGTATTAGAGAATGTAATTTATCACATATAGGAACAAGATTTATCAACTTTTTCGTTTCCAGTCCGAACAAAACGAGTTTTTTGCCCCAAAATCGTCGATTTCCGCTGTAGCTTTACAATTCTTTCTTTTTACTATCTACGTAATAAGGCGAGAAAGTAAAAACTCGCGAGCTCGGCGCCGCTATGCAACCCGCAACGCATCTGAGTCTTCTCCCTTCGACCGTATATAACTCGGAAACGGTGAAACTTAGATCCAGCTATTAGAGATGCTGATCCTACCAGTTGTGTCATGTATGTCGCAATCATCAAAATAAGACATTTATAAACATATTGTATTTTTTGTCGAAATTTAGTTGTAGCAAGTGCCACTTCTTGGCACAGATGGTCAGAAAGGTGTAGACTTTTCATTTCTAGTCAAAGTAAATTAACTATTTGATATTCTGCGAGATTTAATCTGACGGGTCTAAGCCCTTCGGAATAAACGCTTACCCAAATAAGAAGCAGTATTCCCACACAGAACCAGGGCAATGCTTATAATATAGCGCATATAGCATTTCGTATAAGGGCACGGTCATAAGATCTCTAATAAAGTGCGAGTTCGTACGGGTCCAGATAGTATTAAATAATAAATACAAAGAATAACAAATATATATATATATATATATATATATATATATATATATATATGCCTTGGGAGAAGGCAATGGTAAGCGCGGTTCTGGCCATATTCTGGATTAAGTCATGATCGCATTTTTTCCTTATTGGACTATCCATCTACATACTCAATGTGGTCATTTCTTCCATCTATATGGAATTTTTAGAACCAGCTAAAAATGCATCTCCGATTGCATCGTGTGAAGTTTAATGGTATGCGCAATTGATATGCTGAAAACTGGTGTTCAATAGTTTGATTGTGAATGTAAAAGATCCTGCCATGTTTTTAGAAGATGTATAATTTAATACAATAATCTTTTAATTTTACCAAACATTAGTAAAGACGAATAAGTCTTTGAAATATGTTAACATTTAATAAAAAGTATGTCGTGTAAATAGTTAAATGAAGCGGCAATGTTATGAACAACGTTAAATTACAGTGTACATGTTACAGTATAACTTTTGCTTGAAGTAAAGGCAGTTAATAATTTTTTCTCAAAAACGGCTCCAACATGTTCTTTAAATTTTCTCTCCGGTAAAGAACGCTTAAGAAGTGAGTGACGCAGGTCTCATTTTCGTGAAACCCTGAATTTTCAAAAATTGCAAAAGTTACAAATAATTGAGAAAATATGTGCTGTTGTAACACACTAGTTGACCACTAATCATTGGATTGAAATAATCAAGAAAATTTCAAGGAAGAAATAGTTCCAGAAACAACCTATTAAGTTGGATGATTTTTTAACTCATTCATTTCGGTTTTTGACTAAAAGAAAACTTGACAAGGATGAAATACTTTCAATGTTAGGAAAGAAAGTAGTTTACGGTTTTTTGTGAAAAATTTGGAAATATTTACCGAGAAATTGAAAAGATTATGTACTAAGTTAGAATAATGACATGAAATTCCGTTTGGAAAACTAAGGAGGGTAATGCCAAATGTCACAGATTTCCCTGGTTTCGAAATCTAAAATTTCTTTGTTCATAAGCAAACCTAAGTATGACAATATTGACAGCTAGTTCTTTTCATTACTTCACTTGACCGTGGATTCTTTTGTAAATTATTTTATGACCAAGCACAAGAGAGGTAAGATGGAGGTAACATTTACTAGCATTTAATTATGTACTAAATTTAAGAGACATCTCAAAACCTCTTTGGAGGCATTTACCATAGTCTTGCCCCAAGGCACATATAATAAGACAAATCACTCATCTACGAGTACAGTAGACAGAGATACACTAAGAATTGTGGTTTTATGGTTCGGAACGGGTACGTGAACGAAAAAGTTAGAAGTGGCATTTCTGTACATACCAACTAAAGCGTAAATTAATTAATTCATTTATTAGCATTCTGTCTTCACCCCACCCTCAGTTGTACAGTGGAAAGGCACCGGCAAACCAATACAGAGCCTTCTATCATGAAAAGGATACGTAAAGACATACACTTTCTCCCTGTCTATGCTCAGTAGTAAGTATACTACGCATCAGAATTTGTTTCTAACACTAGTAATTTTTTTTGGCTGCTAGAAACAATAGCACGTCACTGTCGTACATTGTACTCTTTTCGTAGGGCATTAAAACTGCAAAAAATGACAGCTTGATGAAAAACTTTCTGCCTGAGCTCAAAATGCACCTACATTACGGGCTAAACAAAATAATTCCACGAAGCAACTTCACTCGCTAAGAAATGCAACTTTTGCTTCTAGAGAAAAATAAAATTTCCTCCAAACAATATTTTGCACTTAACCCGGCCACGTGGTAAATCTACAACACTCTAGCTTCATGAAATCGTTTTTGCGAAAACTATCACTTGAGCCTTTGTGTATCTTTCCAGAGAAGAAATTTGATCCCTTTTGTTGAACCAATGTAAAATTTACCAGTTACATATTTCCTGAAATGCGATGTCATTATGGTTGAGATGTTTCAGAAACCCTGCATGTTCATTTACTTCAAAAATTTCCGCATAATGTTTTAAGAGTTTAATTCTTTTTCCACCAAAAACAAAAAAATGTATGGCGGAGAAGTATAATCTACGCACGTTTTCTTGAGCTCCAAAATCTCTACCTCACATCTTAAAATACATAGTGAATTATGAATAAAGGTACTTAAAAAACGTGATTAACAATATTTGAAAACTATACAATTTTGCTCCCGAGTAATATAAAACGTATTAGCATCGGCAACCTAATTACAGATTTGATTTGATTGTATTGCTGACAAAAGAACAACATGACCACATAGTAAAGCTACATTTCTGCAAACAAAAGAGCATTTGCTCAATGAATCACGGGAAACTGGACGACAAATCTGATCCAGACAGGATTTATTGTTCAAGAAGCTGAAGTACAATACTTGTTACAGGCATATTGAGTCTTAGAATTAAACGTAGCAAAGTCGCTCTCCTTTTACCACTGGGGTTCCGGGTTCGATTCCCGTAGAATCGACATGTGAAATTTGTTACGACAAAACGAGTTTGCCTGCTTCACAGGGACTAGTCCAACCCTGTGAAGCGTCCTAAACCGTATCCCTATACTTATTCTTTCCCAATTGTGGCCGATGGGGTGTGCGTTTAATGCTCCTTAAGGAGTTAGGAGACGCGTTGCTTCCATAGACTCAACAATTTAAAAAAAGTACTATTTGAGCAAGTATGGTTTCAAGTGCTCTTTTCTACATTATTTGAGGATAGAAGATTTATGTTTGCAACAGTATTTAGCTCTAAAATATTGAACGTTTTTCTAATAGCGTTGATATTGATTATAAAAATTAGAATAAGAATTTGACAGACTTTATTTGCTTTGATATTGCATCCGAGAATCATTCTGATAATTTGAGTTGAGAACCTTTCATTAATAACCACGAATCTACTCCAGCAGGTGCTTTAAAACAAATA